TAAAATGGATTGCCCAGTGGAGACAAGAGCTGGTAAAAGATAGGATAGAGGGTAGGCAGTAACTCCCATGTTGTCTGGCACGGGACACTAGTCTTGTTCACTGACAGTTCCCTCTCAGCTTCTCAGGAGGTAGAGGACCCCACAATCTCAAAATATTTATAGACAGGGTAAGCAGTGAGGTGAGGAAGCTTGCTGATGATGCTGCATTATTCAGATTGCGGAAAGGGCAGACTGAAGAATTCTGGAAGGACATTGTGAGGCTGGGGTTCTAGATAATAAAATAATAAATAACATATGGTCTGGATGTTCACACAGTAATGTGCATAGGGACAGAAGCAATCAGAACTTCACTTCTGAAATTACAAACTTTGAGCTGACCTGCTCCATTCAGGAGCAAGATGCTGATATGGTGTGTAACTTGATGAAAGCTTTGTTTCAGTGCTCAGTGGTGGTCAGATACGTAAATCAAACATTAAGAATGATTAGGAAAGGCATAGATGATAAAATAACAAATGTTGCCATACCATGGAACAAGTCCATCATCCCCTCATCTGTGCAGCTCTAATCCTTTCATCTCAAAGAAGATATAATAAACTTGGAAAAGGATCAAGCAAAGGTAAGGAATGGCTTTGACTTGACGAATGACTGCAGAGACTAGAAGCCTGTAGGCTGGAAAAGAGACAACTTGAGAGGAATATAATGCAGGTCTCTAGGCTCAGGAGTCGCATGGAGAGATGTGGATAAGGGTCAGACATTCAGTATCTCTTCCAAAACAAGAACCTTACACAAAGCTAGTAGCAGTCAGGTTCAGAGCAAAAGGCGATTGTTCTTCTTAGAGTGTGTAGCAGACCTGAGAAAATTGTTGCTAAAAGATGTTGTGGATGCCAGAACTCTCTCTGGGCTCAAATAAAAAGCTGAAGTACCTGGAGGAGAAAAACCTAAATATGGAGAAACCCCATCCATCTCAGAAAATCCCCTGACCTGAAAATAGTTGCAAACAGTGAGAGTACAGAGAAGGAAGTATCATATATGCTTGTCTTGTTCTTTTTCTTCCCTCAGTGTCCATTTGTGGCCACTGTCAAAATCCAGATACTAGGGTCAGGAACCTTTGATCTAACACAGTACAGGGTGCTTGTGAAACTGGTATTTCAGTGGGGTTCCCCAGAGGAGAGGTCTGTGGCAGCCCCTCTGAGCTTCCCAGCAGCAGATCCCCATGGCAGGACTGTGTCCGTGTGCAGCACCGTTACCTAGCTTGCTCTATGCTGTGCCCTCCTCTGCCTTATTTATGCAGTGTGCACTTTCTTCCAGCTGTTTGCATTAATTATCCATTAAATGATAGAAGTATTTTTTTTTTAAATCTTATAATAAAAAGCTGTTGGTAGGTGTGGTGTTTAAAGATGGGGGAAGAAATGTCGACCCATTGGACTTTGTTTTCATGAAAAAGGGGGGTGGGGGGGGAAGCCTTGCTTTTTTCATTTTTGAAAGCTTTGGGTGCCATCTGCTGGGTTCAGTGGGACCTTACATAACTGGAGCAAAATTGCTAGCTGCTGGTTGAGAAGTGATTGAAGAACCGAATTTACTCAAGGTTGCAGTGTCCTTGTTTGCACCTCCTGGTTCTTTTTGGCTCTGTTGGAGATAGCGTAACCCAGGTCTGTGGGATGTACTCTGCCACGCAGGGAAGTGCCTGCTTTTAAAGAGACTGTTCAGACTGAATTCTCTAATGGTTTCCACTGTGTTTAGTCACATAACGGAGAAATGGTGGAAGGAAATAAGGATTGTCAGGCATTGTGTGCTGGCCACGTATTGCAGTAGTGGAGCCCACTCTGGACAGCATTGACTGTCTGAGGCTGCTGGAGACAGGGACAGGCGGCCGCTGGGGAGCTGGAGAAGGCTGTTTGTCCAGGAGCCTGGGTACTGCCTCTTGTTTTGATACGTGGCATAGGTGTATAGCAGCAACATACAGCCCTGTACGTTGAACTATGTGAAGGGGTGGTGTGTGTGAGTGTACCAGGTGGGTGAGGCACAGGTCCATGGGACGGGCACAGTGCCTGTTCTGCAGTAAAGGCACCTGGTGAGCTGGCACCTGGTGAGCTGGCATCTCTGGGCTTGCAATGTGAGATGTCCCTAGCTCTCACCTTGGGAGTGCCCAAGAGCAAGGTCATAGAATAAGGTAGCCATGGGCCTTTCCAGAGGGCTGAAGCAAATTTTGCATATTCATCATGCAGGGCAGACAGCCAGCTACGTGTTTGCAGAAAAGTGGCGAACAGTATGACCTGTGCGAGCAGCTGAGCACAGGGAGCTGTAATGCAGTTACCCACAGCACTGCCTTGGGACACATCTAGCACTGTGAGACCCCTCAAGAGTGGTATCCCTTTGGTTTTTTCTTCCTCACAGTTATCTCCCTGGTGTATTCATTCTTGCTCTGTAATTTGATGATGTGGGGCTTTGGCAGCTATACTGGCTTGTGCGGTCCCACCCTCTCGTCCATCCCTTGCTACTTGTTCTCTCTCCAAGCCACCGTGCCCCTTATCCCCATGCTGTGTGTGAGGCCATGCTGTGTACTGCTGCGTTTAAAAATAATAAACCAATACTACAGCATGATGGAAAGGGTTGTATTTAACCCAGACCAGTTCCTTTTTTTGTGAATCACAATGTGGTCTCATAAACAGTTGGGCCAGCACAAGCAAGGGAAGTCTGGTGTCTGCAATGCTGAGCAGGGAGCAGGGACATGTGGCAGAGGAGCAAGACCTCTGTATTCAGTTCTCCTTTTGAACCCCTGGATCACCCAGCCGTGGCCAGGGTTTGGCCTTCACGCGGGGATGCTCCAGCCACCAGCAGGCGCCTGCGAGGAGACATCTGGCACCTACGTCAGCCCTGGGCTGGCGTGCTCTCCACCCTCTGTGCTGCAAGGGATCCTGCTGAGTTCCCCATGTCCAGCACTGCTCTGCTTTGGGGACTTAACAGTATGTATAAAACAGAGGTCCTTGCTCCTAGGTGGAGGTATGCTTTGAATTTTCAACTGCCCAGGCTGAAAAGAGAGTGGTTTGACAACAGTGAATCCTTGGAGCATATTCAGCTGCTCTTTTGTGTGTTCACAAGATTTCAGTAACTGTGCACCTCTAAGAATATAAATAGAAATTAACACATAAATGAGGGATAATGAAGCCTTTTCCTTTGGTTTAATTCTTTTCCTTGTGTATCAAGAGATGACTTGGATATAGGACTTGAATGACTGCTAAGTTTGCTGATGACACCAAACTGGGAGGTCCTGTGGACACTCTTGAAGGCAGAGAGGCCCTGCAGAGAGATATAGATAAATTAGAGAGCTGGGCAATCACCAGCTGTATGAGTTTTAACAAGGGCAAGTGCCAGATTTTGCAGCTGGGACACGGCAACCCTGGACACACACAGACTGGGGAATGAGAGGCTGGAGAGCAGCCCTGCAGAGAGGGACCTGCCTGGGGGTTCTGGTCCATGGCAAGTTGAACATGAGCCAACAGTGTGTCCTGGCAGCCAAGAGGTGTCCTGGGGCGCATCAAGCACTGCACTGCGAGCCAGTCGAGGGAGGTGATCATCCCGCTCTACTCTGCACTGGTGCAGCCTCACCTCCAGTACTGGGGGCAGTTTTGGGCACCACAGTATGAAAAGGATCTAAAGCTACTGGAGAGTGTCCAGAGGAGGGACACAAAACTGGTGAAGGGCTTAGAGGGGAAGCTCTATGAGGAAAGGCTGAAGTTGCTTGGTTTTTTCAGCCTGGAGGAGGCTGAGAGAAGATCTCATCACAGTCCATAACTTCCTCACAAGGGGAAGAGGAGGGGCAGGTGCTGATCTCGTCTCTGGTGACCGGGGGAAATGTCAGGAAGATGTGCCAGAGGAGGTTTAGGTTGGACATTAAGAAAAGGTTCTTGAGGCACCCAGAGGGTGGTGGAGCACTGGAACAGGCTCCCCAGGGAGGTGGCCATGGCACCAAGCCTGACAATATTCCAGAAGCATTTGGTCAAGGCCCTGAGTCACATGGTCTGAATGTTGCGACTGTCCTGTGCTAGGGCAAGAGTTGGACTTGATGATCTTTGTGGGTCCCTTCAAACTCACAACATTCTATGATTCTATGATTATTCCATCCAAGCTACTAAAGACTTACAGCTTTTTCTGCTGTAGCAAGGGAACCAAATTCCTGCAGAGACTCAGAGAGGATGTTCAGTCTCGGGCAAGTAGGCAGGCTGGCATTTTGGTGGTCTTTGAGTTGCAATGGTACGTCACCACATATCACTACTACATTGATCAGTAAGGGGAAGAGATCCTAAACTGTGTTGAAAAGAACAAAAAAGGTTTAAAAATTATAGAGGTTTCTGATACAAAGGAAAAGGCTTACTTCTGATGGCCTTGCATTTTGAATGATCCTCTATCTAGAACATATGGCAGTATTACAAAACTGTTGGCAAACAACAGCAAGAATAAAGCAGAATAAAAATGTGTAGGAAGAAAGCTAGAACTGGGCCCAAAGAAAGGCAGTCAGTTAGAAAGAAAAATCTGTTTCAGCTGAGAGTGTATATTTAAACAAATTTAACATACTCTTTGAAAACTAATTATGTTCAGCATTCAGTCTGGATGCCTTACAGATGACAAACCACAATGAAAACCAGACTTCCTTCCAGTGTTTATACATTGAGTGTTAGACCTTGAACCATGGCATTTGTAGACTTTATTGAACTCTAGATCACTATTAGATTTCTGTAGCCCTTGAATTCATGCTACAGTGCATTAAAATTATTTCAAGCAAATGCTGCCAATGGCAACTGATGTAGAGTTCATAATCACTGTCTTTTTTATATTTTTCTTATACTCTGTTTTTGTTGCTTTTTTCTTCCAAATCATCTTCAAGTTAACATGATGCCTGTAGGCAGTGTTCTCACTGAGGCCACCATGCAGCGCCTTAACACTTTTGTATAGTGACTTTTGATTTCTGTGTTTGTCTTACTTTATGAATCAATATCTTTCAGCACCCCCAGATTCAAAAGGAGTCACAGTATATCAAGTACTTATGCTGTGACGATCAAGCAACCCTGCATCAGTGGGTAACAGGAATAAGAATTGCCAAGGTGAGATTAAAAGTAAATTTAGTTAAATGTGTTTTCTGCAAAATCCTGTCTTCCTCAGGTTGCTGACTGTCATCACCTCAACTGGAAATACTACGGCAAGAATGGATGTTCATTCTAATTTTACCATAGAAAAAAGAGCAGAAGGGCACAACCAGGGTGGATTTGCTGAATGTTCCTGTACCCTAGTTATCCATGTGGTTTTTTCATTAATATGAGGGTGAATTCTGGATCTATAACACTCATACTCATGAAACTCACTCCACAGTTATCTGGCACAATACTAGGATGCTGTGGCTAAAGATGTGCAAGCTCTGGTCAGTCCAGCTGTGACATTTTTTAGACAGCTCTGCCCAAATTGTCTGCCTCACTCTTAAAAAAAAAATTGATTTGCACAAAATATTAAGGGAGATGGGTTTATACATAGCCCGTACTGGCTGTACCTGGCTCTACCTGCTCCTGTTAGGTATATTTTATTTTCTGCCAGTTCTGCTGCAGAGTGACATCCAGCAAAGGTGTGGGGTGACATAAAATTATTTTGTGTCTTACACTGACAGAGCTGTTTGCTCCAGAGCCCTGGATTCAGTGTCACAAGTTTCCAAACTGAAGATGTAGTACTTGGAAAGCACTGGAAAAAGATATTTATTGAGAACAGTTGGTTTTAAAGCCAAGTTTCAAGATGTTTAAAGACACTGAAACTAATATAAAACGTGAGAGTGATATTAATAGGACTGTGTTTAGTCACAGGGATTCATGTTTTATTGTGCTATTACAGAGATGCTTTCCACCTGGCCCTGTACAGAAGTAGGCACAGCACTTGCAGAAAGCTACTTTTTAACAAAACTGGGTAGGAAGGAACAGGGTCGGAAAAATTGTGTGAGAGCAAAATGAATCCTTGGCCTATTTCAAACTTAACACCATGCTTATTGTATTGTTTCAATTGTTTTGCAGTATGGCAAGAGGCTGTATGATAATTACAAATGCGCAGTGAAGAAAGCTGGCTTGTCCTCTTGGTGGGCAAATCGAGGGACGGTGGAACCAACTGCCCCCGCAGGATCCTTATCAGCAGGTACTGATGCTGTCACAGCAGTTGAAATCATATTTATTGCCATCTTCTCTCATCAACAGTGTTGCACATAGTCTTTGTTCAGAAAACTACCCCATGGATTCAGCAAGATAATATCTTGGTCTAGACAGTCCAGTGTGGCTCTGAGCTATAACTAAGCTAGCAGCAGAGCTCTCACTTTAAAGTCAGAACTTGAAGAATACAAGGACAGGTCACCAAAGGTCAGTTTGAATCTACATAATTTAATAAGGTATTTTTCTGCTGGCATCTGAATACAAATCCTTTATCCTCCCTCTACGTTTTACAGATGGATAATCCATGTCTTGAGGTTTTGTGTTTGCCCATCTCTACGGTGGCTGTATTGGAGCTTTTCTTCCATGAGTAAAAGGGATGAGTGGGATATTCTGAGAATGATCATTTCAGAAAGAGGTTATTATGGGGTGAACCACTCTCTTTCTTAGCCTTTCACTCATTTGCATGATAACAATGTGGGTGTTAGAAGGATGCAGAGGAAGAAAGTTTGATTGAGTTATTCTCTACTTTACTTTTCCAATAGCTTCATCCTGTCGCTGTTACCTATATTTTCATTGTACAGATACGACAGTGCATGATACTAGTTGTGATGCATTCATACTTGCATGAATGTTTTTAGCTTACATGCTTAAGATACACTTTATTTATTAGGAAGGACATGCTGGCCAAGTACTTACTGTCATAAGATAGGCAAAGTAAAAATCAGTGTTGGTAGTTAATACTCTTGACTTCTCATACAGACAACTCGGAATCCTCCAAACACCTTTCCAAGGCTTTAGTTTGCCTTTTCTCACTACATGTGAGAAGAGGGTGGTCTTTCGACTATTCCTTGGAGTCAAGAGACCCAGTAACAGACAGTTTTGAGATCAGGGGATTTTTCTGATGGTTGTGCGTGGGGGTACTTCAGTGAGAGTGGATGGGACAGTCATGGAGCATTTTGTGTTCTGGTGTTGATGGCAGTAGAGAGGCGTATGTTGTGTGCCAGCACAATATTATATGATGTCTGAAAGGTTAAAGATGCTGCTTTATTCAGATCTTCCCTGTCACTACAAGGCTCGATATTTTGCATTATATATTTTGGGTATCTATATTTTGCGTTATATTTGGACTAAATTTTTTTTTTCTTAAATATTAATTCAACATCAAATTTTGGTGAAATTGACTTGCAAAGAATACTATAACATGTAAATTAAAAAGAAAACTTGAGAATAGAATGCATCAACTCACATATTGGATTGACTGGGGGTCCTTCAGCGGGCTGACTTTGTGTATAGCACATGTGCAGGTATGTGGCAAGAGTTGATATATCAAATGTTGCTTTCAAGTCTGGCATAGTTTATGAAATCGATTAACAAAATGTTTAGCCATGTCCCAACTTTCTCGTGTATCATATTTGCCAAGTTGAACACTGTACCTTGCGCTACATAGAGCGGCTCTCTCTCCACTCACTTTCATTTTGTTAAATCACAGCATAACTAAGGGCAGCGACGTCTGAGCAGTGTGAAGCCCCAACTCCTCTCCTGCTCTGGACAGCAGACGAAGGGAGGAGAGACAGTAACTTGAGGGCATGGCCACAGAACCCAGGGATTTACATCTCTCTCCATTGAGCACTTACAGCCACAAGACTGGTTTTATCTCTTTTTTGACTTCTGTGTTAGTCGTTCAACACACACAGACTGTAGTTTGAATGATCAAAACAGTATTTTGGATTAAATATGCTGAACAACATGGGAGGCATAGGCAAAAAACACAAGGACTTCAGACCGTCTTCTGTCATCCTTTGAACCCTAAATAGCCCTAGTAAATTCAGTACACTGAAGAGTTTATCTTTCTTCTCTGTAAATCGTGATTTGCAGGCATGGCAATTAAAAATAATTTATTGTATTTCTTATCATATTCATGGAACCTCTTGGCTAATCAGAAAAGTACATGTTAGGATTAAAATCATCGTTGTGCTTAGACTTATATTGTAGACAGCTAAGGGTTCACTAGCATCCAAGAAGTACATGAGTGGAGCTTTACTGGATCTCAGAACTGTAAATTATAATACAGTTAAGGCAGTCGTTAAGGTTTACAAACGTATGTATCTAGGCACCAAATACCGTCTACTGCTTTCACAGGTACAGCTTCCAAAAATCCTAGATTAAACTGGAGAGTTTATTAATCCCCATCAGCCTATACAGGCACTGGAGATTTTTTCACAATTAGACCCATAAATTTGCCCTTGGGTCTCACATTCAGTTACTCCATTTGACAGTACTGGGTTATTTGTGCATATCCCTTACAAACAGTAATGGGGGGCAGACGTTTTGCAGAGCTTTAACTTAGCCACCTAGCAGATACTCACTCTGAGAATACAGTGAGGTTCACAAATCTTCCGTGATTCCAGATGGGGAAGAATTTTCAGAGCTGTTAGCTCATTTACTAAGAAAATGGATCAGCCTCTGGTAGGACTTCAAGCCTTCAGCTCTCACAACTCTTATTGATATGAAACTATGGCATTTTTCATCTTTAGCCTAAAGTAAAGGAAAAAAACCCATGCAATAAAAACTGAGAATGTAGTAATATTACAGTACAGTACAAACTTCAAAATGCTGTTATGAAAGACAGGTATTTAAACAACAGAAGGCCAGAGGATGGGCTTAACTATGCCGGTTTGATTTCTGCTTGGTTTCCCTTCCAAAGCCAGCTCTCCTTCTCTATTCCTGTGTCAGTCTTAATGGTCTCCTTCTGTAATCACCATTTACAATAGTCAGAAGAAAAAGCTTTTCATTTGTCAACACCTTTACACACTCTGATAATTTCTGTCACATGTCTCCATAATTCTGCCACTTGCACTTTCTGTGGGATTGTCAGCTACAACCATAGAGGCATGTGGACAGATACTAGTTTTAATGTAAAATATCTTGTTTATTTTCCTTAGGTAATGAACTGTATATGAAAAGTCACAAAATAAGCCTGAAGTAGAAAACAGATATCCTCATGGATTTTACTGAATTATGTATAAAAAACCTGTAATGAATGGTTCCTTGGTGGAAGTTGTAAAGATATTTTTATAGCCTCTTTCTTAGTTTGCTATTCCCTGATCTGGTTAATATTAAAAAAAATGTAACAGACTCTTTCCTCTGTCTCCTCTCCTTATCACAGGTGCTGTTCAGTCAAATGGACAGGTTCCCCAAATTGTTCGTCGTTCCAGTGCAGAATTTCCAGAGACTCAGAAGAAAACGGATACATCAGAGGTAAAGGTCAGCAGTTACTAGCAGTGCACTAGTTAAATGTCACCTGTGAACCAGTTCTTCAAGTTTGATCTTCTTCACCCACTGTCTTCCCCCTGCAAAGTGCCAGTGTACTGTTGTGACCAGGATTTGGCTCCTGGGCCAAGTGACTGGTTCCTTGCTGCCCCACCTCATGCTTTACACACTGCAAACAGTGTGTCTGTTACACAGAAGCAGGGAGGTGAAGGCACAGCCACCTGCCACTTTCATTCTTCAGAACAAATAGCTGTGAGTTCCTCTAGCAGGAATAGGAATGTGCCTACTGGGACAGTCTCAAAGAGTCTGTGCTGCCAGAACCTTGGTGCTGGTTTCTGTCTCTGCCAGAAAACTGGTCTTGCAATAGTAACACAGAGGATACCTTAGTGATTCATCAGGGAACTCTGCACAGCTGAAGATGAGTGTGTAAGAAAGGAGAAAGTATGAAGAAGTAAGGGCAAACATTACATGTTATCATTAGGCTCTAAATGCATTCCTTGGTTAGGCTCCAAATTTTGCCTACTTGCACCATCTCTGGCTATAAAAGTGTTAGTAGGATACAGTATGAGGACTACATACATCCTACAGAAGAACCCCTGCGTTTGTTTGCAGTTCATTATTCCATCTCTCCATCATGCATAAAGTACACAGGACAAGTGAAATGAAATTCCTAGGATTTTTTGTCACCTGCCTTTACATGTCCTACGCTTCTTGTTTCTGTCTGGTGAGTTCCTCCTTTAAAAAGATCTGTGACTCTGTTCTGAACCTCACTTCCTCTGGAATAGATCACATTCTCAGAACTCAGCCATAGGTTCCCTCCTCCTATGTCTAGTTTACTTCCATCTCTGTAGGCAAGGAGGGCGAGCCATGCATGTTACACTCAGCTAATGCCAGAATTAGTACTGCTGACTGCAGGGTTGCAGAGCACTTTCCTCTAGCAGAAGCAAACATGCTGCCCTCTTCACCTCACAGCTTCTGCAAGCCTGGGACCAAAGGATCAAGCTGCAGTCTTTCAGGGTGCACTGTGCTACAGTTAGAGCACTAAGCTAGCTGGAACTAAACCGATAAGAAATGATGTGTTACAAAGCTTTGTTTTCAGGACAGCAGACTCCTCCACAGGTTTCCAAGAACAGACAGTATGTTTGTGCGGTAACTGCCAACAGCTACCAGTTGCTACCTTAAAAAAAAAAAAGAGCAACTTATATTCAGATACCACCAAATGGGTTTTATTTATCAGCAGAGTGTTGACTAGCAAAGAAAAGCCACCTAAAATTTTGTCAAAATAAACATCTCCATAATGAATTGCTATCCTACATTTTCTTTTTCTTAGCTTGTATGATGGCTGCCTTGATTAATTTTTCCTTCAAAAAAGTTGTCAGAGGGTTTGAATGTCTCGTGACTTCACAAACATGGCTAGGGCTTAGTGGCTTCAAGGACCTGTTTGTCGCGCTATTGATTCAAAGGTGGAGGAGGTGTCTGCACGTGCCATGCCCAGCAGGGAGAAGACACCCTTCCCCAGGCTTATCAGTGGCCCTTGCCATCAGGACACTGGTGGAGTCTTTTTCCCCTGCTGTGCACTGCACCGAATTGTGACAGACGGCTTCCCCAGGTGACTCTTTTCACAGTGCTTTGCAGTGAGTGCTCTCCCTCCTGCACAGAGGGGACCCAGTGCACTACCCTGCAGAGCAGTGGGGACAGCGAATCCAGGCACAGAAACTTTAAATTCCCAAATCTCTCCACTTCCTTCCCAGTTCACTGCTGTTGTGTCTGATGCATTTGGCAGATAGGCGGCTTCATTATTTTAGCTTTATCTAGAGATCCAGCAGTCACAGCAAGAATGGGAGCCAGAGGTACAGTGGGGATAAGAGCCAAAACTACATCTGCTTTTAATGTCCTCAAGTCTTTTTCAGTATTTTTGGATGTAAAAACATACCACAGATTTTTTTTTTTTTTTTTTTTAAGTCATGTTCTCAGGGAATGAACAGAAGGGTGGAACATCAAGAAAGTCTCTTTATATGTCTTACTAACTGCAATTCTTTGAAATTTTAAAATCCCTCATTTTCTGAGGATAGCACTCAAAGAAGCACTATGAATACCGTCAACAGGGAAATTTCCACTGTCAAAGCTCTGTGGGCAGCTCCAGGAAGAAAACAAAATACTATTTGCACTCTTCAGGCAAAAAGTATTCCACTTCATTTCACTGTCTGCTGCACTCTTCTCATATATTTTCACATCTTTTCACTGTTCTTAAGGCATGGCTTTAGTTTACACGTGCACTGACTGTCTTGTTCTTTTATTCCTTTTGCTTATTAAAGGCTAAGTCAAATAACATCAGTGTGCCTGGCCTGGCACAGTCAGTGATGAGGTCACAGAAATGCCAGAGTAGGAGGAACTCACTGCAGCCTCCTCCTCCACCTGAACGGCGGTCATCTGCCATTTCTGTTTCACCAATTCTACCCTCCAAAGTCAAACGAGACAGCGGCGTTTTCCTAACAGATCCCGACAGCTTTCCAGCGCCACCACCTGCACTGAAGATTGATTTTCCACCCCCACCATCCGATTTCTGCGAACCTCCTCCTGATTTTGTGCCTCCACCACCACCAGCCTCCAGCAGCAGTAATGGAGACCTGCCATTACCCCCTCCACCTCCACCTCCACCAGCCTCCAGCAGCAGTAATGGAGACCTGCCATTACCCCCTCCACCTCCACCTGTCTCCAGTAAGCCACCACCTCCAACAAAGAAACCTGTGCCACTTCCTTCAAAAAGGCTAGAAAATGCAGGACAAGCTGGAGAGCCACAGTCAGCTGTGCCAGCTCCAATTGGAGGCGGAGGTGGGCAAGTAGATTTCATGTCTGACCTAATGAAAGCTCTTGAGAAGAAAAGGGGCAACAGCTCCTGAACTCGGGGAGCAGGTGGACATCAAACCATAGCTGGTTTTGTGATACATCATGGAAGGTTTTGCTGGATCAGGCTCCTCCAGGAGGAATTCTCCTTCGGAGTTCCTCCTGGGGGTCTCTTTAAGAATTAAGGTGGGGTGCCCTCTGTCTTCCACTTTGTCCCTATAAATTGCTTCTCCCCCCCTCCCCATTAACTACCGTTCCAGCATCAGGCCACGGTAAGAATTGAGTGTAGAGTCTTCCTTCACTCCATCAGGACAGCCAGGGATGGTGGCAGCACTCGCAGAGCCGGCCAGTGAGAGAAATGCATCTTCTGTGGCTGCCTCTCTAGTAGAATTGGAGCTGAAGGAAAAAATACAATGTTCTCATGTGAATTTTGAAAAGTGGGAAGATCCCTTTACACAGAATTCCCCTTAAAGGTTTTTTATAAAGAAACCCCAATTGTGAGTTTTTCTCAGTAAAAAAGACCTTTTTTTTTTTTTTCAAAAATAGTCTGTCTTAAAAAGTAAAACCTCAGCTAGATTATTCTGAGGTGCAAGGCAGGACCAGGCCCATTTCCAGACAGTGTCACCCCAAATGTTATACACTTCTGCTTCCATATGCAACTCCAGTCTCACCTGTCAGCGCTCACAGATGCTGCCTTTAAATCTTGTGTATTTGGTTAGTCTTAGACAAAGGAGAATTTTTATTTCAAACTTGTTTATGCTTTCCTTGGTAAGCAGGGATTTTTTTTTTCCTGTTGGTTAACATTTGTCTTAAAACTGTACCTAGAAATAATCTGTCTTCTGAAAGACTTTGTAATTATCTTGTAACTGATATGAATGTCTCCTTCTACATTTTTTTTCATTTGTTCTCCCATTTTAATTCTCTGTTGTTGATTTAGGAAACATTCATTATTAGTTCTCAAATAAAAATACCTTCTATTTTATATCTGCCCAAAGTGTCATAGTTAATGAACCGGCATTTTACTGGCAGTTGGTACCACTTTGAATATTTTAAAGGGTTTTTGCCTATACCTTCTAGTCTTAATATTTATTTTTTGCAGTCTTTGCCTCTTCTTGTGCACATGATCTTCTAAGATATCATAGAATAGTTTGGGTTGGAAGGGACCTTAAAGCTCATCCAGTTCCAACCCCCCTGCCATCAGCAGGGACACCTTCCACTAGACCAGGTTGCTCAAAGCCTCATCCAGCCTGGCCTTGAACACTTCCAGGGAGGGGGCATCCACAGCTTCTCTGGTGTTTCACCACCCTCACAGGAAATAATTTCTTCCTAATATCTAATCTAAACCTGCCTTCTTCCAGTTTATAACTATTGCTCCGTGTTCTGTCACTCCCTGCCCTTGTAAAAAGTCCCTCCCCAGCCTTCCTGTAGCCCCTTCAGGAACTGAAAGTTCGCTATAAGATCTCCCCGGAGCCTTCTCTTTTCCACATTTTCCACAAGTTGACAGCACAAAGAGCCACCCTTTTATCTGAGCATGGACACCAGCACTGGCCAGCCCCTCACATTTGTTCAGATGGTCCCTACTATGCACATTTCATTGGCTGCATGAGCACAGTCCTCCCCAAGACAGCAAAGACCAGGACTTTGCCGTGATAAAGCACAAACCACAAGCGCTCAGTATCAGGGCGCTGTACCCCTGGCAAAACATGCAGTTCTCAGCACTTGGAGGAGCAGGCAGTACCTGATCAAAGCTGTGGGAGCTAAAGGACTGGCTCTTGGAAGGAGCTGGCAAGCAAGGCACTGATGGACACAAGAGGAACCTGGGGATGCACAGAAGGTGTTTCAGAATAGGGATGTTTCATCCAGGGAGGTGCCACTAAAATAAGTTTATGTGACATCCCGCAACTTAATCTACAAGCTGAACTGAAGGGATGGTTTTTTCTGCAGTAATCGTGCCCATCCCCAGTTACTCAGGTATAGCCATGGGACAGCCACTCCCCGTTCCCTCCTTCCTTTCTTTGGTTTGTCAGCAGTGGAAGCATGGGAAGAGTAAGTAAAGCTCACGTCAGGGAAATAGGGATATCTTATGACTGCTGTTAACCATTTGTTTGCTCTGTGCCTACGGTTGAGGATCTAGCATTGCTAGCAAGGTACTACAGCTTGTACACCTGTGTCTCTACTGCCAGGTAAAAGATGAGGATGCAAGCTTGAGCACTGGCCTAGTGCTCCCCCGTACTGCCAGAGTGGTCCTAACTACAGTTGCAGGCATGACTCGAGGAACAACCCAGACCAGGCACCATTCCCAGAAGATAACATGGACAAGACTAAAGCGGGTTTCACTCCCCATACAGAGATCCTCTGTGGCGTGGACGTGGCCAGTCAGGGTACCAGTTCACAGGCCAAGGGACTAACTCCTGGCCCTCCTACTTACCTGTATAGACAGGGCTCATGCAACAATTACTGGTCTTCCAGCTCCCCTGCTTTCACTGAACTGAGCAAAAATCTCTCATGGAGAGAACTGTGTTCACCAGTAACACAAATGTCACCTAGAAGTTGTGAATTGACATGCTAGAACATTCAACAGGTATCATCTCCTAACTGCCAAACTGAGAAATGCTCTCGAGACCAGCACAAGGCTCACAAGCTTAGTGCAAGCTTTAGTTCCAAATGCAGCAGAAAAAAAAATATTAACTAGCTAAATGTAAGAGTTAAAAAAAAAAAAAAAAGGATTACTGTTTCCCAATTGCTTTCCATAGATAACTGCTGTAAGCATCATGCAGAATCATTGAATGCTACTGGCGGGGTGTCATTTTCTGACAAGGTATGAGGAGTGCACATCTTGGACATACTTAGGTGACAACAGCTGTCTGCTATCCAATTATTTTCAAATCAAGTGAATTTTCTTTTATGAAAGGTACATCCAGCATCAAAACAAAGCAGAACATGCCCTTAGAAAAATGTTACACAATAAGCTAGTTTCTCTGAATTCACAAAGCACCAAGATTTCTATGTGATTTCCTAGCATTCACTCTTTTCACCAAAACGCTCTGCCTCCTGCCCTATGTCCTCCCTCCTCTTTTGTCACAGTACAATAAACTCAATTTTGTACATTTTACATCTGCAGTCAATCATAACCCATGCACTTAATCTTACACAAAAGAATAAGTTGAGCTTTCTTCAAAACAAAAAGAATCAAAGCCTACAGAAAACTCCAGAAATCAAAATGCTGTGATGATTAGAACTCTATCGACTATTTTGTGAATGTATATGGTTGCATTGAATTTCTGAAATGGAAGTATTCAAACTCCCCATTCAAAGAACCAAGCTACCATCTCAATGATACACAATTATCTGGCTTTCTTTGGTACAAAAAGATGCTGCAAAATACAAAGATCTTCCTTTCCAAGACTGTAAATCAAAGCATTTGTAAAAAGCAGAAATTATTCTTTCCACCTCTGTCTAACCTACTGCCATATGAAATTGTCTTATTCCTGCAGATCACAGTGGTATGCACATTACTAGAGATTACAGTATTTTAGTCTGAAAAAAAAAATGCAGCATGTTATTTTTAACCTTTCTCCATACCTCAAATGGAAGCAGTCTCAGCAGCTGTTGTCTTTTTTTGGGCTCTTCCATCACGTATATGGAAGAAGGATGTACTTCAAGTGAGCACTTTTCCATCAGTCCTTAGGATTAGAAACGCTGGAGTCATGTGGAAAAGTCCATGTGGAGGATCAGCACTGCTACCCCTCATAACTGTCCTCCGACACAGAACAAGGATGAGAGTACAAATCAACACCTGCTTGATTACCAGCCACAGTATTTTTACTCCCCATCTGGTCTTGCATCACTGCTGTGTTGATGTAACATGAAGTGGCAGTTCCGAAACCGCAGGTGGAAGCCCAGGATTTTAGGGAATATATCATGAAACACGGTATTAATGCTTACACTGTCATCATAAACTGGAATAACTAAAACCTGGAATTGGAAAGGGAGGTGGTACAAAATGCTGAGCATGATGTGGGCTCATTTCTCTTTTACAAAACACAGTTAAAAGGTGGTGTTGAGATAACTCTATTCTTCATGTGTTTTTCACACTCTGTCAGGGACTTTGAGAGTGGAAAAGTAGAAACTTGAATGGGTCACGTGGCAAAACTATAGGACAGAACTATTATTTCTGGGTTATCATTGGCAGTCTCACAGTAACAGGGAAACGTGCATATTCTGTTTGAATTCATGTTAAGACATGAATTCTCATGGTCTTGCAGAATATTCTAAGGCAGTTTCATGGCCATTAACAGTCAGTACTGACTATTACGAAATCAAAATAGTTACTAAAAACAAGCGATGTAAACTGCACGGTAAAACTGGGGGTAGGGGCCGGGGGGAGCGGGAATGGAGATTTGCTTTCACATAAATCAATGAAAGAGGACATGACTGAGTCCATGAATGAACTCCTGGGGAGGAGAAGTAGCTGACCTACTCTCTACAGCCAGAGAAATATGTGAAAGCAATTCTCAGGGCTTGCTTTCCCTTCAGATGTTTTTCAAGACTGAGAAAAGTCTCACAATGCGCAGAGTGGGCAGTGTGTACGTATCACTGCTTGTAAAATAGCTCCCATTTGGGATGTTCTGGTTTTATATCGGGATGCTGGAGGCTTGCTTTACCTGTAACTGTGGGTGAAGCAGAGGTCCACTTGCTACTCTTACTAATAGGATTTAGCATTTACAAAACACTTTGAAGAAGAAAGCAGCATAAAAATGCTTTGCATTTATGCAATTATTCCATGCGGTAAAGAAGTACAGGTAGCCACGTTTGGCCCCCACATGATAGAAACTTATCAGATGTTTGGTTCAACATAAATTAGAGTTCTTTGTTTTCATCTAATTGGAAACCAGGGCCCAGGTTGCAGTGCTGCTGTATTTACCCTGTTGGGACAAATACGTTCATCTTCCTATTGTCAGTTACTTGCAGTGTAACTCATTTCACTGCAACTGGTGATGTGAATGTTTACACATTTCATCACAACATGCTATTTTGCTTGTAATTATCTGAGAGA